AAAAAAAGACCCGCACTAACACTGCTCCAAAGTCTACAGCAAATACTACTTCTGTTCATGAAAGATATACAAATAGAGAAAACAAAAGGTAACAGAGTTTGGCATATTGATACTTACAAAAAAAAATTAGCCAAAGTGAAACGTACACGTGTGAGGCCATATCATGACTTAACAAGAGCTGGAGGAATCTACTAATGTTTATGAAAGCATGACTTACAGTAAAAATAAAAATTCATTAGCTTTGATTACTACAAAGACAATAATTGTTGTCAATAGATAAGTAGATCAAATGTCTTTCTTTAATACATGAGATATTTGCTCTACATTTTAGTCATTCATGCATTACAGATTTAGGTTTAATTTATCCTACTTAACTAAGCGTTAATGATAAGCAATGTTTAAGCTTTGTTTGTGATGATATATTATTGTAAAAATTAGATGTGCATTTTGTGATTTTAGCTAACACGTAAAGTCCAAGGATGAAATTTTATGCGTAAAAGATACAAAGACTAATTTTTTCTTATAAAAAATATATAAATAATATAAACTGATTATTTTCGATTTATCTTAATAGATTATAGCCAACCCTGCCTAAAAGTAAAATTAGAGGGGGTAGATTGTAGCCAACCACGTGCCTAAAAGTAAAATTGGAGGGGGGAATGAATGAGAACAAGAAGAGAGAGAGGGAGTTAAAGAGAGAAGCAAAAGAGAAAGCGAGAGAGTAAGGAAATGAGAGAGACTAAAAGCCAAGGAAAAATTAGGACTGTAAAACAGAGATAAAGACGGTGTGAGAAAGAGTGACAAAGAGAAAAAGGGAGATCAACCTACAAAGAGGGAACAAGAGATTGAGCAAGCAAATGGGAGAAACAAACAAGCAAGCTATACATCGATTTATTTTCCTCTTTCTCTTCGGGATCTAAGTAAGCTCTAATCTTATGTCACTCTCTTAAGGAAATGATGATAAAGCTTATAAACGGATTATTTTTCGATTTAAAGGATAGAAAGACTAATTTTTTCTTATAAAAAACATATAAATAATATAAACTAATTATTTTCGATTTATCTTAATAGATTATAGCCAACCCTGCCTAAAAGTAAAATTAGAGGGGGTGAATGAGAACAAGGAGGGAGAGAGGGAGTTGAAGAAAGAAGCAAAAGAGACATTGAGAGAGTGAGGAAATGAGAGATATCAAGAGCCAAAGAAAAATTAGGACAGTCAAACAAAGATAAAGTTAGTGTGAGCAAGAGTGACACAGAGAGAAAAAGGGAGATCAACCTACAGAGAGGGAACAAGAGATTGAGCAAGTAAATGGGAGAAACAAACAAGCAAGCTATCACATCAATTATCTTTCTCTTTCTCTTCGGATCTAAGTAACCCTAATCTTATGTCACTTTCTTAAGGAAATGATGATAAAGCTTTAGAAGAAATTATGCTAAGGTTTTCAATAGAAACTTTTTAAAAAAAAATATGTCAATACTGACAGTAAATTGTTTTCCTAATTATGATTAAAATTAGATGTAGCTAAGCAAATCATTTATTATTAATTATAAAGACTATAGGCCGCATGTTACTCTTATTTCAATTAATAAAACAAGAAAATTTTAAATCTATAATTTTAAGTATAAAGCATGGATTGTTTACCGTGCTTAAGAGTATGGTTTATCTTGATGTTGAATAAGGATGTTTTTATAATATGGTTAGCATAAGAAGAAAAACATTAATAACTTCTTCATAATTTAAATATAATGGGTATAGTGATAACTAATATTAAGTAAACATGTATTTAATTTTATATGTTATTAAATATAAATATAACCAAGATGATGGCATATATGAGTGAAAAATCAATGGTGTATAAGAAATTTAAGTTATAAAAAATAAATTTAAACAGGATTAAAGAGAAAAAAGCTTTTGGAATTTTAAGTGATCTTATTGTGTAGGTATTTATACTTAGAATTAGATTTGATTTTAAAGATAAATATTTGAGGAAATAAAAAAACAATGTTGATGAATAATACTTGCAAATCTCAAGATAGGTGATTCTATTTCAAAATAGAAGTAATGATGTATGCTCTTCTAAATCTAATGCATATGAACACCTATTTTTCCCACAATATTTTGAATTGTTCTTGTGAGGGGCGATTGTAATGGCTATAAATAGTCTATTTCTGAAATGAGATAATCTTTCAAAATTTACACAATATTTTGGTTTACTCATTTGATTTGAGAGCTTAGTGGCTAAACCTTGGCATTTCTATGTGAGATTGCTAGCTATCTAATACCCTTTTTATTTCTTTTGTATCTAACAACTAAAGTAATTCATTTTACTTTTCTCCACACTCGTTAACATCATTCCTAATTGTCCTTCAAGTCTTAAACTCCCCCTCATAAGCTTTCCGTCTCAACTCCACTAGTTGAGACCTAGTCCAACCGCACAACAATGAGATCCTCTCATACATCTCATCTCCTCATCAACTCCAGATCTACTCTTAACCACATCATATCATTCTTTATAAGTTTAATCCAATCTAAAATAATCCCTTGTGCTCTCATAATAAAAATCCCAATACTATGGGTGTGTTTGTTTTAACTTTTTGAACCACGTTTATGGTTTAACTGTGTTTTGTGTTGTTTGATTGAACATTTAATCCGGAACTACGCGTTCGACACAGAGCAGAAATTGGTTTCGTGGCCACATGTGAGGTCCCGCATCCATTGTTCAATTTTTTTTTTTTAATTTTACCCATGCCTCGCTCACTATCAAAAGACAGATTTTTGATTTCAGTCCCGAGACCCTGTGGGAATGCTAAATAATAGTGATGGCATAAATTATGATAAAAGGTAAGTGTTTTTTAAAATCATTTTAAAAACACTAACTGCTTGAGCTCAAAGAATTTTAAACTGAGATTAGATTAAAATTTAATTTAGCAAAAGAAGATTATAAGAAAATGTTAATATAAGTCCAATCAGCTGTTTGGCTGCTAATGTGACATTAGATTTAAATGCATACGACTTACTTCTTATATATTTACATATTGAATACCCAAATTTTAATTTTACATATAAGTCACCTAAATTATACATGAAAAGATGTATTTCATTTTTTAAAATTAAAATGATGATATTTTTATGTGATTTGGATGATATAAGTGTATAAAATAAAGTTTAGGTTTTATATATGTAAATACATAAGAATTGAGTGGTATGTATGTAAATGCCCCTAACAGATATAATTTTGTCAATACAACTATTAATCATAATTAATAACAATTAGTATTTATTTATATATTATCATGTAAGTACAAATAAATAGATTCTTGCCTAAACTAGATTGCATAGGTTCATTAAATGGTCAAATCATTCTATTCTCGAAGATCTTTTTCTCTCTCATTATCCCTTACAACACTTGATTCTATAATTTAACTTTGAATTCACTTCTATATTTCAGCTTATTTAAATGATACCGTTAAATATGAGAATTACATAAATCTATAAAAACTATGAATTCTATATAATATAAGCAAAAGAGTACTTCAGACATTTGTCCACAAACAGCACTTTCAAAATTTTACTTTTCAAACAGAGATGTTGCTTCTAAAACATCAACTTTTAAACAGCAGATTTTTCACACAAGCTTTTGAACTGAGATTTCATAAAGCCAAATCTGAAATAAACACACCATAACTAATTCTCAGCCACCCACAACTCCTTAAACCAAATTTTGAGGGAAAGGACATCAAACCCTTTTTTACTTTAAATCTTTCTACCACAATATCAAGAACTCGTTCTCACACTATAACTTACTACTCGTTCACTTCAAATCCATCGCCAACCCCTTATTATCATCCAGTTTCAAACAAAGAAATCCAAATGAGTCATTTTATAGTTTACAATTTCCTAGAAATTTAAGTTCATGGATATGTTCTCTATATTTTATAGTTCACATGTTTTTCACTAACAATTCTAACAAATAATTATTGATATACTCATATCATTTTCTTTTATAACATTTTAGTTAACAAAATCATCATAATTATTAGCACATTCAACTTAATTATTTTTTATGTCTTTCATGATCTGCAAAAATGAACGAAACTGTTCCTTATTTAGCAGGTTCCTTTGTAAGCCATCAATTGTAAATATTTCAAATCTCATACAACAACAAAGCTATAAAGCACAGACACAGACACGATACGGGGACACGACAATTGAAAAAAAAAAAACACACGGCACGCCATAGACACATTTTTATATTTAATTAATTATTAATATAAAAAATATATCTTTTCATTATTCTATATTAAAAATATGACAACACAAATTATGCAAGAATAAAATTTAACTTCATATATTTAATTTATATTATAAAAACCCATGATTATAAAAAATTATTTTTTATAATTATATATAATATGTTCCAAAAGAGTATATCCAACTTATAATCCAATTTATCTACTAAAAATTAAAAAATTATATGATTACAAAAAGAGAATTACTAATGCTCAACTTTATCGAATATTGGATACACCTTCGATGCTCGATTTTGACAAATGTTAAAGCAAGTTTTAACTTGACGAGAGATGGAGTGATTTCGACTATGAGGTATAATAAAGGATGTACATATATTTATAATTTTCTAACTCTCGCAACCCATTTTCTCGAAATAGTGTTAAGATCATATCTAATGTGATGTTGAGATGTGTCCCGAATGTGTTTGCACCTGAAAAAATTCAAAAATATATCTTATAGTGTCGGAGAAGTGTTGGGACGTGTCAGACAAGTGTCGGTGTCCAATACGTGTCCGACACGGGTATGACGCATTTTTAGAAGTGTCGGCGCTACATAGCAACAAAGGCAGTGTACCAAAAAGACCATTCCATGTACCAATAGGACCATTCCATGTATACAAAGATGGGGAAATCTCAAGCTTTGAAGTGTACCAACAAAAGTATGCTCAATAGAGGACACAAAAGAATCACCAATTGAAAGTGCAACTTACTTGAACGGAGTCTTGTAATCGGGATTTCTCGCATTTCGCGTCTAATGCATAACCACTCACTAAGCAATGCCATCAATATTAATCCACTGAGGTTCACAATCCACCATGTGAAGGATGATGGCCAGCCCCCATACATTATACAAACAAAAAGATGGACAATGAAGAGAGTAGCTGAAAAGTCCAAACACTTCCTCGCTCTCTCAATCAGGTAAAGAATGTACCCTGCCCTGCTCAAGAAATAATGAAATGTCAGACTAATGCATAATCCAATGGCATTTAGAATCCATTTCAATTTTGCAGTGATAATGATATTAAATAAGACAGTAATCTCGAACAACCAAAAGGCAATGTATCAAAGAACAAACATGATCGAGTAGAATGTAACACCCAATATCAAAAAGAGTATATGCATGGTATGAACTACAATTTAGTTTACAGGAAGAACTATCAAGAAAAATATAATGATTTTTCTCTTTTACTGAATGACAAATACCATTGAGATGTGAGTGCGGATATTACTAAGTTCTGCACACTCAGCTAGTGCTGGAAAAACATATATTGGTCCAAAATGCAAAATAATATAGAAACCAATGACCCTTATTTTTCATAGTTCAAAAACACAACCATAAAAATTGTCCTGAAAATGCAGAAACAAAGACCGCATTACATATTAAAAAATAAATGCCAAATCAAGCGTGTTCCATCCCTTCCAGTAAGAAGAGAAGACGACTGCTTGACAGTAGAAAACAGCAAACGTAGAAGGATGTAAACCACAATTAAAGCAGGAAAATATTCTAGATGCCAGCATGCCTTAAACTGTTTGTCAGAATGTCAGCCATGTGATAGCAGTAAAAAAAACTGCCATGGGATATGTCATTTGGTAGTTCACCTACATTATATCCCAATTCTTTGTTTTATGAAACTTAATTTTAATACTAACAACGAGCATTCGAAAGCATTTGCTAGTTTTTCATAAATTGCATGTGTTCATGCGAGTGTGCATCTCTTCACTAGCATGTGCACAAAAAACTAAACAAAAAAACTCAGAATAATCCCCAGACCATTCATAGACCAATCTAGCCCTAAATAATATTTCTTCAATATAATCCCTAAATTATACAAAATTGACCTCAATTTAGCTCCTCAGCCATACAAAAATTGATCCAAATCATCCCAAAGGGAGCTTTTGAGATTAATTTTGTACCGTAAAAGGGGTAAATTTGATAAATGTAATGCTCCAATTTGTGATTGGTTCATACGAAATATATAAATATATATATACGTTCAATTTTTTTTGTAAATAGTATGTTCATTATTTAAATCATGTTAAATTCATCCATCATGTGTGGCTTGTATTTGGCTCATACTTAGCTTAAACTACTTACTAAATATTAAATTTTAATGTTTTAAAATAAAACATAAAAAATCAAATAAATATCAAAATAATCAAAAACCTTGTCATAAATTTATGATTTAAATGATTACTACAAAATATGAAATTCATAATAAATTTTATTTATTTAATTATTTTAAGTAAAATAAACATAAAACAATTGCACAATTAACTGTGCTCGGCTCATTTATAAATCAAGCTAAAAATATATGTTCATGTTCGGCTCACTTACATAAACAATTCAAGCATGAATTTTTTAATGAGTCAAACATGAGATATTCATGAAATACAAACTTTATGAAAGTACTACTAGTAAGCAACATGAGGATTGATGAATAACTAAGCCTAAATATTAATGCACAAGTTGCCATCCCGAAAGACAGTAATGAACATTCATGGAAACCATTCTTTATCTTACATGCAATATCATTCATTTACTTCTTCACCCTTGATAATAACCACTCAAATAAATCATTGAGAGAATCACAACAGACATGTGTCTAGTATATCAACTAATCTTATCACGGATATCAACATTTTATAATAATTTTATAATCGCTCAACTATTCACGCATATTCTCTAGCTCTCATCTCAAACAAGTGAGTAATGCAAGCACAAAATGATACATTTTCCCTAATAAATATATTATGCAACAATTGATCTATTGGTATTTTTAGTTTAATATGTTCCATAACATTAATTATATAATATGAAAAACTAGGCAACAATTATCCAAGAAAAAATCAATGACATGCTAAATATCATTAAGTAATTATAACTTATCATTGGGGTTGTAAATGAACCAAGGTACTTTGTTGGATTGCAGAAGTTTTTCAAAATTTAAATTCATAAATTTGAGGACTGGCTTCCAACAACATACATGCAACATCCACAATAGGTGGACTTATAAAGTCTTTCATCATGCTTAAAGTAAGTTCAAAACAATGAAGTCCTCTAATTAAGTTCCACTTAAGGTAAGGTAATGATGCATCACACAACAAACAAAAATTTCTCAATCGAGGCATTATAAAAATCACTTTTTTCCTAGTTTAACTAATGCACATCATTCTCATTACTTTTTTCTTCAATATTAATATTTAAGTTTTAATGAGGGCGCTCATTCGCAAAATTATCAATTTGGTAACATCTAAAGCAATCATTTGCCAAAGTTTTGAATCCCAAAGTCGTAGCAACTGACTTTCCTTTTGACTCATTTATGTGTTCATTTCAGTTTTGATTACTTCAGGTAAAAAGAGAAATACCCACATGAGAAATTATTTTAAGTGCGTGAACTTTTGTAGTTCAAAATCTAATAAAGCAAGTTAAAAAGCTTCCAAAAGCAAATTAAAGTTACATGGCGCCATTTCTCTTTTAAATTTGAGTCTTAAAACTAATTTTAACCTAGAAAATAACGATTTTGAATCATTCCTGATCTCAGAATGCAACAATATTCCTTAAAAGCTATCCATGTAATCAGCTACAGATTAATTCCTTGGTTTAGCAAAGTTCAAATCATCAAATAGACAATCCTTGAGAGAAAAAGGCAGGTATTTGTTTTTTAACAGCAATATTATTTCAATACCTGCAACGGTTTATTCTAATTCTAATCATTCCCTTTATCATATAGATTTTTCCCCTAATTCTAATCATTCCCTTTGTCTTATACATTTTGTTCCTTATCGGTTATTCCAAGTACATGCGACTTTCTCATACTTGCACTCACTCTCCATCGCTGCCAATGCTCACAGTCATCACTCGCATTTGCCCCACACTGCTCTCTCACGCTATGTCCACTTGTTTCATGTGACATGTAGTTTGGCGATGATTCCTACAATACCTCTCAAGGTGCCTCCTTGGTCGTTGATGTCTACATCATATGCATAGACTATGCTCCACCCTATTACATTCCTTATGCATGACATCATTGTCGATTATGCTCATCAACCATAACACACTTCTTCACTTGTCGATTGTATTAGGATTTTTGCTCTCATCGGCCATATTTGATCAATCATGCATGCAATCAAACTCCTACCAATGTTTTAAAAGCGCGGTTCATATGCAAAGAAAATCGAAGAGCATGACGCTCGTTGCAGTAGTTATGGCGATGGGGAGGTTGCGGGCAATGGGGAGGTTGAGGATAGTCATCACCTCGAAGCGAGAGATATAGTCGAAGCACCACTTGTCCTCGGATATAGCCCTAGAAAGAACACGGGGAATGCCAATGGCTGTCATAATATAAAAATAACAAAAAACTGGCCTAAAACATGAAAATAACATATTTATAGACTTGGGATAAATAAGAGTGGACCCCACTCCAAATAGGAGGGAAATCCACATAAAGGAAGTGTTGATCGCCCCTCCTGGACCGGTCCAAGCCGCAATCCCCCGCAGTATTATTGCGGAGATAGCGAACGGCTCCATGCAAGATGGATCCATGTGATACTATAGCTAGAATCAAGACACTGTAGCAGGACACACAAAAGGGGTCCCTATAGGCAGCTCTCGAGTCAATGAATCAAGAGTCATAACATTCAACAAAAGCAACATCCATAATTTATACTAAGTCTATTAAAAGTGGATTAAATTGTTTTATGACATCACCATAATGATGCACACAATGTCGCCCAATTATGCCAAAAGTTTGCTAGGAAGTCACCTGCAAGTGACGCCCACAACTTAACTTGATTTTAACAAAAGAGTAGGAAGGCTGATTAGGTCTAAAACAACTACTAAATTTATTATATGGAATTTGAAGGCTTGAAGCTTTGAATGGGAGAACAAGAGATATGGCGGACACAATGATTAAAAGTAAATAAATATTGCTTGCTTACAAGAAGCTAAATAAAAGTACAATGGGAGAAGCAGCACTTAATTTTACAGTAATCTATGACCTTGTAATAGAGAACATATACCCTAAAAAATGGGAAAAATAATTTAGTACTTGTAAAAATGGAGCCAACAAATTGCAAATAGGCTTCCCTTTTAACGCTTTTTTTCATTGAAAAAAAATCTAAGGTGATTGAAGAAGATGGTTTGACCTCATAACAAATAAAAAGTTCTGTGTGTTAGAAGTATAAAATGCATTCAAAATATAAAATTTTCTCAGAAAAAGGTGGAAGAGATTTAGTAGGAAGAAATTGCTAATTTTTAATGAAAGGTTGCTAAGAGAGGCAAATTGAAATTCTTTAACCAAATGCAGCAAAGGACGTGACTCTAAAAACAGACCTTACACCAATAAGGAGATTGGTGGAAGAGCGAGATGGTATAATATATTAATTAAAAAACAACTGTAAAAATAGTAAAATTAAACTACTATTAAGGCTTAATAATTATTTAAAAATTAAAAATATATAAAAAGTGTAATGAGCAAAGAAAATATATTTTTTTTATTTATATAATAGGCTTGATAATAACAAAAGAAAAACAAATATGGAATAACTAACGCAAAAGATGAGAAATGTAGAGACTTTGATCAAAATATATTCATTAAAAGTGAAGACAATTAAATATTAGTTAAAGATGAACATTAGGAAAAGAATGAAAAATGCAACCAAAGAAGTTATTAAATAAAAGTTTTAATAAAGAAATTTGTTTGAAAGAGAGTAATTAATAAAATAATAGATTAACTTATAGATTGATAGTAAAAGCTAAAGTAGAGTTAGCTATGAAAAAGATGCAGCTACAGTACCGCGGTAAGCTCCCGCGTCTCTTAATGTTAAATACAATTAAGTTGACAATGTTGTCTAAATCAGAGTGTTATAATAAAAGAAAATCATTGACAACTACATTGAGCATTATAGAAATGAGAATGTTAAAGATAAAAATGTGCCAAAACTATAAAATATAAACTAAAGAATGATCAAATTAAGGGGAAAATTAGAGTGATGTTTATTGTAAACAAGTTAACTAAAAATGGAAGTCCAGTAACTTTCTATAAAAGTGATTATAAAGCTATTGCAGGGAAATCAATTTTTTTAAAAGTTATAGGTATTAGTTTTATTTTTTAAAAGATTGGGTAGCAACTTTCTTACAAATACTACATTCTAGCAAATCTTATCCTTAAAACAACTTCCCACCAAATAAATTCATAAAAATAGTAAGAAAGCAGTAGCCAATGGAGATGTGACAATGATCAAAAAGGTAAAACATAAAGAAAGATATCTCAAGTAAATCCTCAGGTCTTGACATATCCCATGAAGGGTAAAGAAATGAACCCATTTTGAGTTTAGATAAAGTTAGTATCGAATAGATGGCATAAGGTAAAATAGAAGTTTTTCAAAATGATTCGTAAAAAAAAATTAACAGCTCAAGGAGAAGTCAAAAAAAATATATAGAAAATAAGGATTTATAAAGCTAAACCAAATTGTTAGAATAAGTTTATTTATGATAAAGATGATGATGATAGAGCCAACAAATAGAATAAGATACACTAAATTGTATTACATAAAAAAAAAATTGAATTCTTCATAAAGAAGAAAAATGAGAAGTCAAACATATATTGTTATTAATGTCTATTAAGATGACAAGAATAACTGCAATTATTATCGGAGCCTTCCTTTAAAATGAAGAGGAGATTCCGGAAGCTTGCAGAGGGCTCCGAGTTTTAGGGTGGATTACTTAAACTTGGAGAGGTGGAGTAGAAAATGTTCATGTATCTATGATTTCTCCACAATCGATCATTGGGGCTCTGAAACCGCTCCTATGTGTCGATCAAGATGCCACCCACGGATTCCAGTCCATGAAAGGCTTCTCAGCTGTTATCACTTCTTTGTAGAACTTATTGGATAGTTAAAAGATAGAAAAGAAAAGCAATTGGGTGAAAAATCCATTGATATGAGAGAATTCTTGATGCCATTGCCATCTTAGTTGATCAACAATGGTCTTCAAAGCAACATGTATGTTCTTGAACCATACAACTCCCTAGTATTTAGTATGGGTTCAACCTCATCTTTACTTGATTTCATAATAAACCTTCAGCATATGGGAACAAGAATTACCCTCACAATCTTCTCTATTTCTTTAACTTCATTATTATCATCAAATTGTCTTTCTCATGTGAACCTTTCGCTAATGTGGATTTATTTGGTGATAATAAGATGGATGCCAAGACAGCCTGGCTAAGGCACATTCCAAATCAAGTTTTCATGAACACATTCCTTTGTTTCAAAACATAGCTTATACCCGGTTCTCTGTGGTCTTTTCTTATTATTAACGCTTACTTTAGTTCTTGATAAAACCTACATTCTTACCAATCGATTACCTAGCATCAAAGTAGCAGGTTCAACCTCAACTTTTGTTGATTTCAAAAAAAATATCCCCAAAAGGTTCTCTGTTTTTTCAATTTCTTCATTATCATCATTTTTTTATGTGATCATTTGACAACTGTATATTTATTTGGTTATAGTAAGGTGGGCAGTTAGACAACTTAGCCATGGCACATTCCAATACAAGTTTTCACAAAACAACGATCTACTTTCTTTCACCAAGATTTTTAGAATCAAAATGAAGTTTACACGGCTTCTCTATGGTCCATTCCTATAATTAACACTCCTTAGTTCTTGAGCGGTAAACTCTGTTTTTTCTTTTCTACATGATAGATACCTTGCGCACTAAAATCTTAAGCCAAAGTCAAAACTCCAGCAACCTTTACCATGTCAAATTGGTAAAGAGAAAGCAAGAACCAGAAATAGTACTGAATGGCCAAGACAAAAAACCTGCTAACACCTGCCATTTCCACTAGTATGGAAATCCTACCTGCAATATTTTAACCTATGGTCTCTGTCAAACATTGGAAATAACAACGGTTCTTTGAAGTAACTTGCTCCATAAGAAAAAGCCCAAAAATTTTGTTTTGTTTTCTATCCTTTAAGGCTTATTTTACATTGCGGCATTAAGATCAGAAAAGTCCTAGTTCTTGTTTAAATTTCTTTTTAAACATATTCTCGTTGTTCTTCCAAATCCGTTACTTTGTGGCTTCATGTTAACATGCAATTTAATTCAAAAATTTTACGTTATCATCCAAATCCGTTACTTTGTGGCTCATACGCTTGATGTGGCTCAAGTTTCATATCAATAACAACTAGGAATCTCCATTAATTTTTTATAGGAAAAGATGCTAGGACTCCATTCAAAGGTCTTCTCAAGGAACATAAAGTTTAGGCAAACTGACAAGGCAATCACCTGGCTGATTTAAAGATCAAGAACATTCCCACATTGGTTTCATGGAAATATATAGATGTTATAACGAAGTAAAAGTACATGATTTCTACAATAATAACGATAAAAAGCCTAAGAAAATCTAGCAATATTTTGATGCAGGAAAGCATAAAAAAGTTGTAGAATTTGTAAGAGAAAGGTTAAAGTATCCAGTATTCAACCCATGCATGCTCCATTAAGAATCACTGTAATTAATAGGGCAGCACAAGAAAGAGAAGTAGTTATGCCTCATGTGCCCAACGTGGGCATCAGAGTAGATAAAATTTCCTTAATCTCCGTGTCTACCCTGGTGGGTAGTGTTCTGACCACCAGACTGATACAACCAGCCCATCAAGCCAGTAGTACTGCGCAAACAATTATCAATGGCAGAGAGGCATGCATTCATAATTAGAATCCATATTATATTCCAGGTAAGGGATGCCAAAGACAACAGGATAAATAATTAAGCTTGCAAAGTCGACACTTCTGAGAATTCAGCATGGCACTACATAGTGCGAAGGACCATATTTATATTATTCAGGAGAAGGAAAATTGGATGCGATCGGAAAAGAACATGAACTTTGCTAGTAGATAAGAAGTTATTAACAGTGTAATTAAAATTACAGTAGAAATCCTTATTAAATAAAACGTTACCCTGCTACTGCACTTAAGAGAAAACCAGCAATTGCAAGCCAACCAGTTACAGTTGTAGCGGTGAGGGTAGAAAAGTCGAAGAAATAAACAAGGCTCATCCTAGAAACACGGGCTCCGACAAGAATAGACAAGAGAACCCCGAGCGTTAGGTAGTATAAGCATTGGAGGCACACGATCTGAGAAAGAATAAGCCATGGATCCCACACCACAGCACCATAAAACATGATTCCCTTAAAAGTTATGAGCAATGTAGCCCTTGATCGAAAAGCGCAAACCCTATCTCTTAAAATTTGGTCTTTCCAGAAAAAAAAAGACCCTGATGAGACTCTTCGATCACTGCTCTCATCAGATTTCAAAATTTGCCAAATCAAAAGCCGAGCAGTAGGAAGCTTGATCTTCCCGATCTTAATCCAGTAACAGATACCGAAACCCCCTCCTGATAATCTCGAGTGCGCTAGTTTCTGGGAATCAAAAAACACCTGTTTTGAGTTCGACTACACCATGGAAGATCTCCCGATGTCGATAAAGGGATTTCCTGCGGGAGCTGCGAGCGAAGAACCCAAAGGATGTAAAATGACGGAATCTTGCGATCCCAGATTTCAGGATGAGCCAGGCAGGAATGTAAAGTAGGCGGAAGAGGGAATCCGCACAAGCAGAAAATATTGCAACCGACGTAAAATCCAGAATTTAATTTCTTGCCAGTGGAGGGTTCAGGTTTTGCCAAATAAAAAAAAATGAGAAAAAGTTATTTATTTGGCTCGGCCTGACTCCAAAAGAATCCAATTCTTCAAAAATAAAATCCTGCATTATTCAAAATCGTGCACTGTTCTTCTTCTTTTTTTCCTTTTTTTTTCTTTTTTGGATATGATTGTTCTTGCGACGAGTAATCCTCTGTTTGTTCTAAAGAGCATGGTAGCATATCAATTTTAAAAATAAAATATAATTTTTTTTTTTGTGAAAAAAACGAAATGGAGTGAGTTTTAGGGCCTGTTTGGGGTAGCTTATAAGTGCGGGTAGAGTTTTCAAAACACCGCCTCAACATTTGAAAAATACGTTTCAGCAGCTTATCCCAAAATGCGGTTGGGTTCTTACACTAAACGCAGACCGCGGTCGATATTGTTGGCCACCCATGGGCCACGTTTCAGAATAAACTGTTTATCTGGATAACTACAAGCTGCCTCAAACGAACTCTTAATGTTATTGAAATGATAACATTCATTTAGATTTGTTTGATGTTTTTTATTTTTAGTTTGAATAAATGTGATTTTTTGTATTGATTTTTTTTGTTTAAACCAAACTTACTATTTCTCTAAGGTTTTGAATAAATATATTATGATATTATAAGCTTTCATTTGTTTTTTATACGAGATAAGTGAAATATATGGTTCATTTGTGAGAAAAATCACAAAATTTGTAAAGCAATACCACCATCATGTGACCAGAATATCACTTCATTACCACCATAGTTCCACCAAAATACTACCACATTATCATCATAACACAATCAAAAAGTAACCATAATACCACTTCAATATCGCCAAAATACCTCTACAATATCACTATAATATAACCATAATATCATCTTATTACAATCATAGTACCACCAAAATATCACTACATTATCGTTATAATACAATCAAAAGGACACCACAATACCCCTTCAATATCGTCAAAATACTTCCACAATATCACTTCAATACTGCTAGATTATCACCCTAATAGCAAAAAAATACAATAATTTCTGGTTGTATTGTGGTATTATGGTGGTATTTTGGTGACTTTGTGGTAGTACTTTAGTCATATTTTGATGATATTTTGGTAATATTCTGGTGTTATTCAGGTGGTATTCTGATGGTATTATGGCGGTACTCTTATGTTATTCTGGTGGTGTTTCGATGGTATTTTGGTGTTAATTCTTATGATATTCTCGTAGTATTTTGGTATTATTCTTAGGGCATTGTAGAAATATTTTGGTGGTATTTTAGAGTTAGTTTAATAGTATTATAGCGGTATTTTGGAGGTATTTTGGTGTTATTCTTGTGGTATTTTGCTAAAATTTTTGTGGTATTATGTTGTCACTGTGGTGGTATTTTGACGGAATTTTGTTGTTATTCTAGTTGTATAGTGAATGAATTATGGTGGTATTTTTATGATATTCTGGTAGTATTTTGGCGATATTATGATGGTATTCTTGTGTCATTTTGTGTTAGTTCGGTGGTATTGTAGTAATATTTTGGTGATATTTTTGTGGTATTTTTGTAGATTTTTTGAGGTAGTTTGATGTTATTTTGGTAGTACTTTTATAGTATTCTCGTTATTTTTCTGGTGAAATTTTAATGATATTTTGGTGGTATTGTGATAAATTTAATCACAATACCACCACAATGCAATCACTATTTAGATAATTTTCTTAAATATTTGTAACACTTATTAATAGAATGTGTAATCATGTTTAAATTATTTGTATATATGTGCAGTTTTGGAAGCAATGAATGTGAGTAATGAACCAATTGTAGACTGGTTGTTTGGCATCAATATGCACAATAAAAACAATGCATATAGCTTATATTGTGCTTATGCATATCATATTGGATTTACAGTTCGAAAGAAACATGTTAGTTATTGGTCAAACTCAAAGAAAATAAAATTGAATAATTTTCTATGTGGAAAAGCCACTTTTAAAAAGGACCATATTCTCAAAAATATTGTGAAGTTTAAAAGATTAGCATCAGAACTAGTTGTTCAGCCTTGATTCGATATAATGTTGATGTCGATGGCAATTGAAAGGTTAAAAAATTTTTAGAGAGTCATAAACACTCCCTAGCCATGCTAGATGATCCACATCTCTTGAGATTTAACCGAAGCATCAATGACATTAATGGAGATGTGCTCAAATTGATGACAAAAGCTGGTATTGGAGTTACTAATGCATTCAACTTTATTGTAATGAAAGTTAGTGGAGTTGAGAAGTTGAGAAGTACAATTATAATAAAAAGTATTTTCCCTTGCAAAAAGATTATAAATCAGTGCAGGAATCATATGATTAAAGATGAAAATAAGATATTGTAACAAATAGGAGCATGCATATTCCTTACCCCTTCCGAGCATAAAGAACATTGGCTAATCTAAAGTTAGTTCCAGCTTGTGTGATTATGTTGAGTAGATTCTAGCCTCTCTCTTTTAGATTATCCACTGTGCCCTCCATATAGAGGAGTACAATTATGATACACATCTTTAATTTCGATACTTTACATTTACTTTTAGTTTAAATTAGAAGTAGTTGATTTAATTATAATCTTTTTACAAACAATTCGATATTATTCTCCTGCGAATTTAGTTTACAGTTTAAGTAAAAATTTTTCTAAGTTAGCATAGTAAATCCCTTATTCTTTGTGGGTTCGATGCTGGTGTTTTTAAAGAAACTCTATATTACTTAAAACGATACGTATACTTGCTTAAGTTAGCATAGTAAATCCCTTATTCTCTGTGGGTTCGATGCTGGTGTTTTTAAAGAAACTTTATATTACTTAAAACGATACGTATACTTGCATAGTAGCCCTAGTGTGTAAACCATTAATCAATTTAATCACACGTTTATTTTGCACATTAGTTACTGAATATAAATTGGGACAACAATTTGGCCATCATTTCAGATTTAAATAATTACGTAATTGTGGGTTAGGTCAAATTTTTTGCATCGTTGTCAGGAATAAAAAACTTATTTACATTTCTGAATTTTAAAAAGTATTAGTCTTTTTTTTAGTAGAGTTCTTCTATAATTTTTTTTCTTTTAATTCTTCTAAAATTTCTTAGTGTGACAAATTATAGTTATTTTTGAAATGAATAAAAAATCAGAATTTCTAACTTGATTGCTGAATATCCTTATATTTTAGTTTTAACCTCAATTATTGAATTTTTTTCTTAAAAGTTTCACTATCACATTTATGGGACAAAAATATAAGATTCTTTAAGTGAAACCTACCACCATAAATTATTATATTTGCTTTACATAGTACAAAGGTTACTTGAAGATAAGTAATGTTTAAGTTTGGGGAAATTAACATGTCTTAAAATTATATATCTTTTATGTGTATTTCCTGCTTGTTTTAATCATATTGCACGTTAATGAAATCAGTGCAGGAATCATATGATTAAAGATGAAAATAAGATATTGTAACAAATAGGAGCATGCATATTCCTTACCCCTTCCGAGCATAAAGAACATTGGCTAATCTAAAGTTAGTTCCAGCTTGTGTGATTATGTTGAGTAGATTCTAGCCTCTCTCTTTTAGATTATCCACTGTGCCCTCCATATAGGACTAACCAGGGTTAATTCCAACTTTAGACCAAATTAGTAAAAGATCTAGTCTGTCACCCTAGAAATACCAATTCTACGCCCATCAGAACTTATCTCCCTATCTATTTGCATTCCCCAGGATTTGTCATCCCCTTCATCCAAGGTTTAGTGTGGTACTCACTAGTTGGAACTGAAAAGAAGGTATATAGTAAATCCCTTATTCTCTGTGGGTTCAATGCTGGTGTTTTTAAAGAAACTCTATATTACTTGAAACGATACGTATACTTGCAACTGAGAAGAAGGTAAAAAATTGTGGTGGGTCAGCTTAAATCCAAATTTTTGCTCTTATTGACCAGTTTTGCTGGTTTGGAGCTTAGGCGTTGGATTCTGGCACCTAGGCGCCAGATTTAATTGCCTAAGCACCCTGTTGTGCAAACAGCTAGCGCTTAGGCGCCAATTCAGGTGCCTAGGCACTAGGTCTACATTTTTGAAAAATTTAATTTTAAGTGTGGCACAGCAAGCCTAAGGCCTCCAAATCAAAATTTAACGTTAATTTAACCTCATTCCATTAATCGATTATCCTCCCAACATCTTCCAACTTCCATTTAGTCTATTATAACTTCAAAACTCTATTCATTCCAACATTCAAACACACCAAAATTTTCACAAACCTAACACATTTTCATTTCTAACAAACAAGTTTTAATACAACGAACATATTAAAGCAATACAACAGATCAAACCAATATAATTACTAATACAAATGTTAAGCTTCTCGTAGTACTGAACACAACCTCAATTAGAGTAGACACACTAATTGCAATCGCACACATATTTAACACATAAAATCCTCATAAGCCCTTCTAATGATCGGTAATTGTTGGCACCATTATCCTCCACCTTTTTGATTGATAGAAAGTTACGATCGTATAGGTGGTAGAAAGGAGCACAAGAGAATTCAGAGTCAATTTTCTCATTGATCCACTTGTTATCAAAATAAATATTTACCTAATAGTCTTAATAACAAGCCAAATGATTAAATTGGAGTTTCATCTGCCACTCCAAATGGTCGTACTGGTGGTACATGTCACTTAGCTTGTTATGCAGATTCCTAACCCCTCTTTAATCTTCATTAGTTTGTCAGTGATCCACTCCAAACTTAGTGCTAGGAAGCCATTGAAGTAAGTTTGGGCATCCCTAGGCATTGTATTCTTCTCACTTGCACCACTATTGCATCTACTCTCCATTTGGGCAAGAAATATCAACTAAGCACTCAACTCCTCTCCAATTTTATTCTCTTAGACCAAAGTTCAAAGTTTGACCTCAAGGGATGAGATTTGGGGGTTTTAATAGAAAATTTTGGGTTAAAACTGTTGTGGGAAGTTTTACCCATGTAATGTAACTGTGGCACTTAGGCACCGGATTTTGGCGCTTAGGCACCAGACTTACCAAATTTTGGCACTTAGGCGT